CCTGCACGCCCCCCCCGCGGGCCGCCTCTGACCGCCTCGTGACCTTCCGCAGGCTGCTTGGCCACAGGCGAATCCCCCGGGGCGCTGTCCACCACAGTCCCGACCGACCCCAGAGCCACCCGTCCCTCAGACTGGCTTCGCCTTCCCCGGCAGGCCAACACTCCAGGGACCACCGCTCCACCGACGACTGCGGGGGTCGCTGCGGTGAAGACTGCCGGGTCCGTTCACGAGACGAAACCCAGCCAACTCCGCTGTGAGTACTGGGCAGGAGAGGTCAGAGAGCTCTGACGGATTCTGGATCCCTGAGGTCGAAGGGTGAAGGCATCAGGGACCCAGGGGACAGTAGATGGAAGGGGAAGTCCTTGTACCAATGTTTCTTGAGCACCGAAGGTTGGGCCAGGCCTTGGTCCTGCCTTCAGGGCTTACAGGCTTTCTCCATGGTGGTGAGGTAAATAGGGGACAAGGAAAGTTAAAGTCGGTGGGGAGAGTGGTGAGGAGGCCGGTGGTGATGGGGTACCCAGCGCTGGCTGGTAGCCAGAAGCTTCTCTGTCCCTGTCTCAGGTTCCCAGCCCAGAGCCCACAACACAACTCCAAGAGGGCTGGGTGAGACTTCTTGTGGGGTCTGCGAGGCACACCTGGTATTTTAGTTGCCTTGCTGTTGGTGTGACAAAGCAACCTGGGGGCAGGGGCTTTATTTTGCTTACACTTTCAGGTCACAGTCCATCACAGGGGAGAGCCAGGGCGAGAACCTGTAGCAGAAACTGTGGAGGAAGGGCTGCTGGCCGCCTCCCTCTATAGGACCATGCTTAGCTAGCTTTCTTATATAGATGGGGACCACTTTCCTAGGGGATAGGGCCACTCACATGGGGCTGTGCCATCCAACATGAGTTAATAATCCAAAGCCCCCTGCTCTGAACTCCTCACAGGCCAATCTGATTAGACTTTTCTGTTAGATGGCTCTGTGCAGCGTCAGGTTGGCAATGAAACTTAACCAGTGCACCGGTGTACTGTCACATGAGCAGGGTTCTGTAGTTAAGGCCCACGTGAGTAGTAGTTATCCTGGGATTCAATGCATTCACTTTAACTGCCTCAAAAAGTCAAGCTACTGTGTGTGGTACATGCCGAGTGTCGAGTGTCTTTTAAAAGGCTGTGATGGGTTGGGGAGATCATTCAGTAGGTAAGAGCTCTTACCATGTGAGCAAACATGAGAATCTGATAGAAAACCCCAGAACCTATGTAAAAGCTGAGTGGGTGTGGCCTCATGCTCCAGTAACCCAGCACTTGGTGGGGGAGTCAGGGGTGGGGAGCAGAAACAGGAGATTGCTGGGACCCTGGTCCCTGGCTGAGGAGGCTGCCAGACTAGCTTGGGGTTCAGTGAGAAGCCCTGTATCAAGAGAATAGTGTAGAGAGTGGTGAGGATGCTCACAATCCTCTGACCTCCACGTGCACACTCGGGTGTGTGTATCCATCCATTCACACAGGAATGACGGAGAGAAAGCAGAACACACGGATAACATTTACCAGGCCCTGAATCACACTCCCAGCACTACAAATGAATAAACAAATATATAAACAAATATGTAAACATGCCAGTCATGACCCATTTACTTGATTTCATAATCCACTGACTCGTTTAAAAAAATTCTTGAGTGGAAGCTAGATATGGGCACCTTCAATTTCCTCTATTTTACTTTTATGCATATAGCGCTTTGCCTGCATGCACGGATGTGCACTGTGTATGTGCCTGATGCCTCTGGAGGCCAGAAGAGAACACCAGATCCCCCACACTGGAGCTACAGGTGTTTGCCAGCCACCTCATGCGTGCTGGGAACCCAATTCCTGTGCTCTGGAAGAGCAGTCGGTGTTTTTCGTTTTGTTTTATTTTTAGAAACAGAGTTTCTCTGTGTAGCTCTGGTTATCCTGGAACTCACTCTGTAGATCAGACTGGCCTCAAACCCACAGAGATCCTATGCCTCCTGAGTCCTGGGATTTGAGGCATGTGCCACACCAACTAGTGTAGTTGTGCTCTTAACAGCTGAGCCATCTCTCTAAACCCCATCTTCAATTTCAAAACTGTTTCCCAAGTGCCCTCAGCAGTCGGCACGCCCCTCTTCAGGAGGGTGCATCATGGCCTAGAATTCTCACCAGCCTTTGGTATTACAGACACGTAGCTACTGTTACACCGTTGTGTGATATAACTTTGGGCTGGATCCCCTGAGTCCCAAGGAGGCCAAGCAAGCTTCCATGGCTTTTGCCACTTTGCTCTCCTCTTTGGGATATGCCTGCTCCTCACACAGTCTGTTTTACTGTTGGGTCGGTTATCTCCATGAATCACAAGAGGATTCCCAGAAAAGGGGCAGGGTCCACACTGGCTCAAGTAGGGGGAACAACATGTAACCAGATAGGAATCCAGGTGCATTTGTGAACCTCTGGCTGGTTACTGGGGTGCTCTGGGGCTCAAGCTGTAGGGACAGGGAAATAGGTATCTGGATATAGCTGAGGCTTTTCTGCAGCTGGAGGTATCCATGGACGGATGCTGTCATTCCATACTGACAAGTAGAAAAGGGTGGGTAGGTACAGGTGAGTGGCTGGAGAGGCTGGACAGGGAGGAATGGGGACATAGTCACAACATGTGCTGGGTGAGCTTATTGCTTCATCAGGCTCTTTTCTTCCTCTAGTCTGTGGTTCCTCCCATGAGGCAGACCCTACTCTCAGGGACCCAGAAGCCATGACTCGGCGGTGGCCATGGATGGTCAGCGTGCAGGCTAACGGCATACATATCTGTGCTGGCACCCTTATTGCTTCCCAGTGGGTGCTGACCGTGGCCCATTGCTTGACCCTGTGAGTTGGGGCCCAGGTGGGTGGGTGGACAGGCCTCTGGAATTCTGGAGGCCTAGTCAGTCTTCCAGGTGACCCATCAAGTAGCAGTTGTGTCCTGTGTGGAGCTCACAACACTAGTCCCAGCCTTATCCTCGCTCTGGGTTGAGTCTCATGGATCCCTTCCTGGGGGTCAGCTTTTGGCATGTACCCACCCTTTGCCCTTTTACATACCCTTCAGTCCTGTGCAGTCATCCATAGGTAAGGAGGCTCAGAAGACCCTAGATTTTCCTTTCCACCCTCTTTGCTCCCAGTCAGTCCTCTTCCCTTCTGTCAATCAATAGTTTCTAGCTCTCCTCTAAGAGGGGCCCTGACTTAGAACCTGTCAGGGTGGTTAGAGACAAGAAGACAGACAAATCCTGTGGGGACAAAAGGATGGGCGTTCCAATGTTCTGTGGCCTGGGAACTCCTGAGAGTAGTGTCTATGTTTCCCTTGAGGACTGGCCAGTGAAGACATGCTCAGGATCGACATAGTGGGTTCAAGGGGTATCCCATGGAAGATGGCTTGCGATCTGGGCCATGGTCATTGCACAGGGACTCTGGTAACTCTTCTAAGGTGCAACACAGGATAAAAACCCAGAGTTTGGCTAGCAGAAATGGAGCGCACATCCCAGCTCTACTTCCTAAGGGTACATCCCAGAGCAGGCTGCGACACTTCTTGGAATGTCCGTTTATCTCCTCCACACAATGAAGAGAATCACATACTCTGTGCAGTGCCCTGTCATGAGGAATAGACCCTGGGGGCCTTGAAACCCAGGGTGGCCTGCCTGGGTCTGCTTAGAGGGCCACAGTGGTATGGAGGGCCAGGTTGGGGTGTGAGGCAGGAGCCTAGCTGATGGAAGACACCCCACCCCCTCCCTCTTCCCATAGGCATGGTGTTAACTACACAGTGAGGGTGGGGAGTCCATGGATTAACCAGACGGCAGCAACCAGCACCGATGTGCCAGTACATCAGATCATCGTAAACAGTGGCTACCAAGCCAAGCGGTACTGGTCTTGGGTCGGCCGGACCAATGACATCGGCCTCCTCAAACTCCAGTGGGGGCTCAAGTACAGCAAATATGTGTGGCCCATCTGCCTGCCTGGCCTGGAATATGTGGTGGACGACAATTCTATCTGCACCGTGACAGGCTGGGGATATCCCAAGGTTAATGGTGAGTCAGTATCCCACCCCCCGCAGCCCAGGGTGCATGGTGGGGGGAAAAAGGACTTGGGTGAGGCTGGGGTGCCCCATGGATGGACATTTCTAGAGTACCTTCTTTAAGGAGCTGACTCATCCAGGAACTTTCTTGTTGGGTTTCTCATCTCTGAAGTCTCCTCCCTCTTCAGGGTCTTGTCAGTGAACATGTCATGGTCATTATTGCCCTTGAAGCCTCAGGACCAAGCCAGTATATGTAAACAGAACTTTCTTGAAGGCAAGGAGGTTCCAGAATGATTGCTTGTCACCCATACACAAACCTAGGGCATTGGCAAATAGAGTTCAAGAGAATGGGTCCTCGCGTCTTCAAAATGCTTCCCAGAAGAGATACAGCTTGAGTCACACAGGGTCCACTCACGTCCTTTCCCTTCAGTGGCCCTCAATCCCTTGTCATCCCAGTATAGGAGCAAGGTCCTTAAGACAGACATGTCCTCTCATGCCCATTTCTGGTGGGTTCTGGGATTCTCTACTCCCTCTATGGAGCTACAATGCACCCTTGAGGATCTGATTGGCCCTTGAAACAGC